CATTACCAGTGTAATTTCTTTTTCTTTCTCTCTCTCTCTCTCTCTCTCTCTCTCTCTCTCTCTCTCTTTTCTTTCTTTTTTCTTTCAATTGATTCGCTTTGTATTCTTCTGTAGCCCCCTTCCCTGATACCCTCCCAGCCCCTTCCCCAGTCCACTGATAGAGGAGGACCTCCTGCCTTCTATCTGACCCTAGCCTATCAGATTTCATCAGGGCTGTCTGCATCATCTTTCTCTGTGGCCTGGTAAGGCTGCTTCCCACAGAGGGAGGTGATTAAAGAGCTGGCCACAGAGTTCATGCCAGGGAAAGCCCCTGCCCCCTTTACTAAGGAATTCACTTGGAAACTGAGCAGCCTATGGGCTTCCTCTGAGCAGGGAGTCTAGTTCTTCTCCATGCATGATCTTGGTTGGAGTATCAGTCTCTGCAGGCCACTCGGGGCCCAGGTTTTTCAGAGAATTCTCAACAGAGGAATATTGAATGCCAGAAAAACACTTAAAGAAATGTTCAACATCCTTAGTCATCAGAGCAATGCAAATCAAAATGACCCTGAGAGTCTACCTCACACCCATCAGAGTGGCTAAAATAAAAAACTCAAGGGATGACAAATGCTGGAGAGGTTGTGGAGAATGGGGCACCCTCCTCCATTGCTGATGGGAATGTAACCTTGTACAACCACTTTGGAAATTAATCTGGCACTTTCTCAGACAATTAGGAATAGTGCTACCTCAAGATCCAGCTATACCATTCCTGGGCATATATCCAAAAGATGCTAAACCATACAACAAGGACATTTGTTCAACTACATTCATAGCAGTGTTATATTCATAATAGCCAGAATCTGGAAACAACCCAGATGTCCCTCAATTGAAGAATGGATTCAGAAATTGTGGTACATTTACATAATGGAATACTACGCAGCAATTAAAAACAAGGAGATAGTGAAATTTTCAGGCAAATGGTGTTAACTAGAAAGATCACTCTGAGTGAGGTAACCCAGAAGCAGAAGACACATATGTACATACTCACTTACAAGTAGATATCAGCCATATCATATAAGATAAACATATTAAATTCTACAGATCTAAAGAAGCTAAACAAGGAGGACCCTAGGGAAGAGGCTGAAGTCTCACTCAGAAGGGCAAAGAGGATGGACATCAGAAGAGGGAGAAAACAGGGAACAGGACAGGAGCCTTTCATGGGGGCCTCTGAAAGGCTCTACAATGCAGTGTATCAAAACAGAGGCTGACACTCATAGACAAACTTTGGACAGAGTGCAAGGAACCTTATGGAAGAAGGGGGAGATAGAAAGACCTGGTTTCTTAATTCCTCTTTGTTCTAATAATCAGTTATGTGGTAGCTTCAGCAACAGGGTCTTACCATCAAGTTATGGAGGGTAACCAAGAGCATTCATAATACCCAATAATGTTTGGTAATATAGGGGACCCATTAGCCAGCAACTCAAAAAACTCACTATTTCTGACACTGGGATTTTTAATTGCTAGCACACAATGTCAGCTTGGGATATTACCCCCAAGAAATAGCACAGCTCCATTGAATACATAGGCATGCTTCTATTTATATAGTATTATACACCCCACACAGGAGTGTTTCTACATTACTAGGATTTCATACAACTATTTTTAAAAGCCTTCAGTGTTAATTATCCTTCTTCATAGTCCTTTCTTTATTCCACCTTCCCATCCTCAACCCTATTTAATTCTTTTTGTTCTATTATTTCCTTTTTCCTCCATACACTCGCATACATAAGCATGCACACACACAGCACACACAGCACAGCACAATGCATATGTGTACATTACACATACCAATACAGAGACACACAAAACAAAGACTGGCAATGTGTGAATTTCTGGCACACTGTAAGCTGTTAATAACAGCTGGTTACATAAAAATATTCCTAATTTCCTGAATTTTACTCTTACTAAGAACTGGAAGATTTCACTTGACATACATAGATATTTCAAAAAGATGTCACAAGAAGCAAGAGTCAGATTCATTCATTCACTCCCACGACCACCAATGTTGACCTCATCTGTTGGGGACCAGCACGTAGATCCATGGTATAGCAATGTGATCAAGGGGCTCAGCCTGGGATTCAGAGCCTGCTCTGCTTGCAGTTTGTTCCAACTCCTGACAACTGTGTCCCTAAATTTTCCTTTTCTGATTTTCTGATCATTAAAATGGTTGTTGTTCTGGTAACTTCCCTGTACCTGTCTGAAGTGCACTAACACCAGTGTGAATACTCCAGAGTATTCATTCGTATATGCCACTGTATTAATTAGGACTCACCACACATGAGTCATTTCCTTGGAGTCTTCAAAGATGATGTATATGTCTGTGTGTGCCTACATGTGAGCCACCAAGCAGGTACATGTCATCATCTCTGTATCATAAATGAGCCAGGGACATTGGCGATAGGAAACACACCAGCAGTCTGTCCATCATACAACCATGAGAAATTATATTCACATATAACAGACCTCAAAGTACTAATTTTATAGTTGTTTCAAAGCAATATGCATACATTAAGAGATAAGAAAAATAGCAAATAAGTCTCCATAACAAAAAAGTAAGTAAGCACAACTGAAAAAGTAGAACTGTTTTTGCCTAAAGGTAAAATACCAGATGTGTAACGCTGAGCACAAGGAATGACTACAGCAGGAAAATGGAAATATTTGTTTCTTAGCATTGGCCACAATTGGCAATACACATGATATAGGATATGGCAAAAAAAGAGAAAAGTAATTAAAAGAAATTGCAATTATTTATCATTGTTATCATCATTGTCACATTCTCACCATATTTGCATTTCAGAACTAGGCTATGAGGCATCTTCTTAACTCAATAAAATGCACCTTTAGTGATATGTTTGAATACTGAGCTATGGAATTAAAAGAGATATATCCATCCATGTCTTTCTATCTATCATCTGTCTATCTATTATCTATCTATACCTAGCTGCTAGCTAGCTAGTGTTTATCTACCTGTCGAGCTAACTATCTAACAACTTTTATGTCTATCTAGATCTTACATATATTATGATTTAAGGTAAAAATTATTCAAGGCAACTAAAAAATTGAATTAGTGAAGTCACACACATTTAAACATGTGCATATTTATAGCTCCCCATGAATTAAGCTATATCACAGTGATATGAAAATTAATCTAGCAAATCTCTACCTTTGCTCATTTTACCCTTTTTCTAGAATGGGTTTTCTTTTTGTTGTTGAAATTGCATTTTTATTTAATTTTTTACAATGCATAATCTTCCCTTTCATGACATCTAGGGTAAGCAGATAGCACAGCATGCCCTGAATAGTGCTGGACTGGTGTTTCATATTTGTATAACTATCTCAATAATATTAAGAATTATAGACAAAGTCACCTCTCTTCTAATTGTTCACCTTCATCACATTTGGGTTGACAATAGGCAATACTTGTTAGCTATAGTGTTATAGACAAAGTCATTGGTACAAAAACACCTTTTACAAAACCCTTAGGGAAACAAAGTTCTCAAAATGAGATTAGTAAATTAGGTAGAATTTTGAAGAAACCGCACTTGGTTCTGAAAACAAATGAGCCGTACATCCAACTTCTTCCTGTGATGTAATAAAGAGAAGAAATGCCAGCAAACATGAAAGGTTGAGGCAACAGCAGGCATTCTGGGGCAGAATTACAGTGGAGTGTGTGTTCAGTCCCAGAGGCCTGGGGAAGTCCTGCAAAGCCATTGTAGAATGCACCTCACCCTTAAGGGCCTCCAGGGACAGACAGTAAACTCATTAACATAATTATTCCAGAGTTCCAGCCTTTCCTGGAAAAAAAAAATTAGTGTGAGAAGCAAGAACTCGGCAATTTCAGTTTTAAAAATACCCAGTATTGTTAAGGCTGCTCTGTGTGTGGTAGCAAAAGAGAATCGTGGTGTTTGCCTCAGCTTTTACATTGGAACAGAAACTATACTGAAATTCTTCCCTGCAAATCCTGCCAAGGATGAAAGGTTTGTATTGCTTGAAATTACTTTATGGTCCTTCCGATAACAAAGTTTTAGGGGGTGAGGGGTTCTGTCCTCTCTTATCAAGTCTGTCAGGGATGAAGGACAGGCAAAGGGTGACTCTGCCTCTTCTGCTTAAGATCAGAGCTAAGCCTCCCTTCTATTTATTTCAGCTCTTCATTTGCCTAACTGCCCTGTGAGCCCGGCAGGGACCTTCCCCTGCAGGGCCGCCTGACTGCAGAGACCCCACCTAAAACTCTAAGTTGGTGCGTCAGCACTTTATCTTGGGATGAATGAAACAATCAATCAGTATGACTGCAATGCTGTACCCTGTATAGTTCTAATCTAGTTTGTTCACATTCCAACTCTTCACCACAGAACCCAGCAGTGGTTATGATGGTAAGCCAATCTGTAGCAAATATGCTGCTTCTGATTAATTTTTTTTGTCCTCTTTTCTATTTAGAACAAGCAAATCTAACCTGCTTAGGAAGCCACATGTGCAATGAATGATGATGCGACGGCTCATGCAAATATTCTTTATTTGCTCTGGTCTAAGATTGAGTTCCTAATTAGGTTGGCTAGATAAATAACCATAAATAAAAGTGTCAAATTGCTCTTTTGTTAACTTATACTCCCAACCTGGTAGCTTAATGTTTTAAGAGAGTATTTGCTGCTTACTAAAGCTCTGTCCAACTCTCTGTAAGTCTTCATGCCAAAAAGCACACAGTGTTTTAAATTTCCGGATTTACAATTCTGCAAAGACAGAGTTAAACACTGTTTGGTCTCTGACTGCCTCAGAAGTACTGAAATATTTCAAAGCTCGACCGTCAGCTCTCAGAGGCTGGCACGGTAACTTTCTGAACTGATGGGGTTAAACATTCTTAGAGACCCATTCCATGATGATAAGGCGGTAATGATTTGTGCAGTGCAATGCTCCAAAGGGTTCCGAGATTCTCAAACCTCTCTGTATGTGATCCTCACAGTGAAGAAGAGTCAGGGCTCCGAGGATGAAGCGTCTACTTTTCCTGGTGCTGATTTCAGTCTGTTGGGCTGACCACCTTTCAGACAGCTACACTCCGGATCAAGACAGAGTCATTCATATCCAAGGTAAGAAAGCACAGATTCTCAAATGAGCATCAGACAAATGTCCAGTTACTTACAGTTGAGATGTTTGACGCTTGTGAATGTCTGTTCTGTTGCATAAACTTTTCCTTCCCTTTCTGCTAATTAGTAAGCTTACTTGTGGTGCATGGAAGCTAATACATGAGGGGCTGTTAGAACTTTGGAACAAGTGAAGTTGGGCAGCTTAGGAACAGCCAACTGCAGTGAGCTAATGCAGTTAACTTCAAGCTGTTCACTGTGGTTGGTATCTTTAAGTAGCATGGAGTGCATGAAGTTCATTGAAACGGAAGATGAACGGGAGAGCTACAGAGCAGCCAAACTTAGCGTTTAAGGTCATTGTGTCACAGTAGTTGCTTAATGATTGAGAGAAGCAATGCAAGTAAGGAAAATATCAAACCAGCTATGGCTGGGAAATAGGAGCTTTTCCTGTTACAGTTTCTGTGGAAGGCTTTCGTTACCATGGACCAATATACTAGCCCTGCATATTTCTGTTGCGCTCAGCTGATCCTCGGAGAGCTGTAGCAAAGCTAGTGTCTGCAGTATAATGCAGCTCTTTCGTCAGTTTAAGCTTCTGTAGAGGGACACCCTGCAATGAGAGAGCTGGAGACTTATGCAATAAGGAGAGGGGCAGGAGTCTTGCACCTGCCCTTGGGTGCTAAGTAATTAAACTAAGAATTTCAGAATATAACAGTTTAAATGTATAATATTAGGAATTTTAGATAAGTTCAATTTGAGGACCAGAAACATTTTAAGTTTGCTAAAAGACATAAAAGAGTAAGTTATAATTTCAAGGTCAAAAGTGTAGTCTCAGAAAACTATGTTCACTAATTAAAAAAAAAAAAAAAAAAAAAAGCAAGACTTGTGAAGGTCATTTAACAGTGCAAATCTGGTAGAAATACTATCCTGTAAATGTTTTGGCAGTCAGGAGTAGGATTTCTAATTAATCTGTCTCTGAGTATTTTAGGCACATCCTTTTCAGTTTTGTTTGATTCCAGGCAGCTTTATTTTTTCATTGTTGAAGCATGAAAAGAAATTATATAACTGTAAATTCTCCTCTGCAAACTGCTAACTCAGCTGTTTTCTTAATATATGTATTAGAATCAAAGTGCCTTCCCAAAGGCTGTAATGTGTTTACACGCTGTGTTTACTGATGAAGAATAGCATCTTTTAACTTCTAGTCACAGAAATCGATTGAGCACACCTAGTAATACTGAATCATTAGTAATAGCAACTTTAATCTAATATAAAATATTATTTACATAACTATGCTCTCAACTTACAAGATCTACTCAAATTATAGCATTAACCATGTGATCCAATTAGTCTATGTGAAACCTAATGAATGAAAGTATTACTTTAAAAATATATTATTTACTGACTTATTCATGTTAGAGAAAGGTTATTTGAAGAAGAAAAATCCATATAGCCCAGCCCTCAAAATCCCATGTGTTTGTTGAAATTTAGTTAAAAGGGACTGTAGTCCAATATACCCAGTTGTTCAAATGATTTCATACACTGTTGGATTGTTTCCAAATGCCTTGATAGTCTACTTCATTTCAATTGTAAATTCATATTCTTAGAAAGTGTAGGTTGCCCTGGAAGAGTTACTTAGGCTTTCAAGTGATGCTACTACCAAACCTATATTTTCTGATAGAAATTAACATGGAAATGTGGCTTAGGTCATAGCATTGTGAAATTCTCCTCATAGATCAGAACTGATTTTTCTAAAGTTGCTCAAATAATTATCCCGACTAGTCCCCCTTCTCCATTTCTCTTACAGCATTAGCATTCACATTGAAGTTTTAAGGTACAGAGCTCTGAGAATCCATGTCCAATTGTCATGCTTTAGTTTCAATTATCTCTTACAATACAACTATAAACCTCAGAACAGTAAGGAAACAAAACAGCGGAAGTACTAGTTTCCTTTTCATATTTAAACTTTATTTGTAATAACCCAGAAAAATTAAAGAAATTGAAATCCTCATAAAATATTATAGCCATTTGTACCCCAAGGATTAAATTGGCTGTCTGAACCTCAAATTACTGAATTGTTCTGATAAGCAGTTTCGTTTCACAAAGGTAGGAAAACAAATTTAGAATTTTCATTATTATGGAAATATATTTTATGTCCTTAATCCATCATTAATGTTCTATTTTATATTCAAAATTCCCCAAGCAAAACTCAATGGCCGAAGTAAAGCTACATGTCCTTCAGTTCTCCTTAGACACCTTGGTACAGATGCTTGACATTTTCCTGATTTCTCCTTGAGCCTCTCACGTCAGACTTACATACTTGAATTTCTGGTGACACCTTTACAGCTTTGTTGTAGATTCTATAGAAATACAGACATAGGAATGTTTAATCTAGCAAAAAAAGGGGGGGAAGGAAAGAAGAAGGAATGAAGAGAAAGAAAGGAAAGAAGAGAAGGAATGAGATAGGAGTGGAAGAAAGACAAGCAGGAAATAAAACCCTGAGCATATGGCATAGACCTCAGTTGGTGCAATGCATACTGCACAAGCCTGAGGACCCGATTCTGAATCCCCAGTACCCACTTAAAGAGCCAGAGATTGCAGCATTTTGTAGCCCCAGCACTGTGGGGAGAAGGGAATCAGAGACAGATGGATTTCTGGAGCTCGTTGACTAGACAGCCCAGCCTAGCCAGTGGGCTCCAGATTCCGTGAGAAAGCCGGACTCCAAAACATAAAAAACAAAACAATGAAAACAAATAAAAAAAAAAATAAGGAAGACGAACCTTTGTCCTCCACATGTATACACACAAGCATTCATTCACATATATACCATTGTACACATAAATTTAACACATATACACTAACACACATACACACCGAGAACTGCTGACTACACATGAATATATATGCATTACACACTTACTTTTGCCAGTATTTATAATTTCTGGTTCATATCTAATATATTTACTTTTGTCCAGGCTTTTAAGAATCTGTTCATTTGGGTGTTTGCGAAACTCTGACATCAGTTATACTGTCAAAGGACAAATCATCTTCTCAACACACTCATTAACACTACATTAGGGCAACACAGGTGATACAAGAGAAGAAAATAAGGACTAAATAAAAGTGAATGCAGAGAGAAAAGGAAGTAGTCACAAAAGAGTCTTATTTAGAACGTTTATCCAAATTCACTGGAGTTTTTAATACTTGGCACTTTTAGCCCATAAAATATAGCTTGTGATTAAGCTATAGCACTCCTAGGCACATTTCCAAAAGATCCTCAAGTATACAAAAAGGGTATTTGCTCAACCATGTTAGTAGCAGCTTCATTTTTAATAGCCAGAAGCTGGAAACAACCAGATGTCCCTCAACTGAGGATACAGAAACTGTGGTACATTTACACAATGGAATACTACTCGGCAATTAAAAACAAGGAAATCATGAAATTTGCAGGAAACTGGTGGGATCTAGAAAAGATCATCCTGAGTGAGATATGCCAGAAACAGAAAGACACACATGGTATATACTCACTTATAAGTGGATATTAGACATATTATATAGGATAAACATACTAAAATTTGTACACCTAAAGAAGCTAGTCAAGAAGAGAACCTGGATAAGATGCTCAATCTTCATTCAGAAAGGCAAACAGGACAAACATCAGAAGAGGGACAAAACAGGGAAGAGGACAGAAGCCTACCACAGAGGGCCTCTGAAAGACTCTACATAGCAGGTTATCAAAATGCTGAGAATCATAGCCAAACTTTGGGCAGAGTGTAGGGAATCCTATGAAAGAAGAGGGAGATAGAAAGACCTCGAGGGAACAGGAACTCCACAAGGAGACCAACAGAACCAAAAATTCTGGGCACCAGGATCTTTTCTTAGACTGACAGTCCAACCAAGGATCATGCATGGAGGTAATCTAGAACCCCTGCACAGATGTAGCCCATGGCAGCTCAAGTTTCCAAGTGGGCTTCCTAGTAATGGGAACAGGGACTGTCTCTGACATGAACTCAGTGTCTGGCTCTTTGATCACCCCTACCTGAGGGGGAGCAGCCTTACCAGTCCACAGAAGAAGACAATGCAGCCAGTCCTGATGAGACCTGATAGACTATGGTCAGATGGAAGGGGAGAACAACCTCCACTATCATTGGACTGGGGGAAGGGTATAGCAGAACAGGGAGTGAGGGTGCGATTGGGAGGAAATGAAGGGGGGGGTACTACAGCTGGGATACAAAGTGAATAAACTATAATTAATAAAGAATAAAATTAAATTTAAAAAGAAAAATATAGCTTGGGAATATTTCTCTTTTTTAAAAAAAGATTTTTTTATTTATTATGTATACAGTGTTCTACCTGCATGTATGCCTGAAGGCCGGAAGAGGGCACTAGATCCCACTATAGATGGTTGTGAGCCACCGTGTGGTTGCCGGGAATTGGACTCAGGACCTTTTGAAGAGCAGACAGTGCTCTTCACAGCTGATCCATCTCTCCAGCTCCTGCTAATTATGAATAGCGCACACTGTTATTTTATGCCATTCTGGTAGCTATCAATTAGAACTTTGTAGTTTTATTCTTCTAGATACAAAATCTTCCTTTCAAGTGACAGCAAATTCATATTGGACAGCCAATGCATTTTACTTTCTTTTCCCTGGATGCCAAAATTGATAGACTATGAAAAAAAAATCAAATTATTAGAAAATACATATCTACAAACAAGTAAATCATTAACTAGTAAAGCCTTTTGAAAGTATGTAAGAATGAGTGCTAAATTAACTAAAGCACTTGCCTAAAATCTTTACAGCATGCTAATTTTCTATTTTATCACATGATTAAAATATTTACATTTTTATTGTTTTTGCTTTTCACTTAAAATATAGTGAAAATCTGCTATTTTAATGAAGTCATTTGGAACATAAATACCATCAACTTCTAAGAAATTAAAACAGTCACTCAAGGATTATCAGTAACTAGGAGAAATAAAAATTATTTCAAAATAAAAGCATTGAAAAAAC